TCTTTAAAATTTCGCGCCAAAAGTAGCAGACAAGCTGTATTATTTAACAAGCGCTATTGCCACTTTTACAAATTCACCTGTCATTTACAGTAAATGTTAAAATAATTTTTCAAGTTTGATGTTAAATATCTTTTAAACAAAACGGTGAAAAATTTTCATTTTTTTTATAAAAGTTCATTTTGGTTCAATAAATAAAACTTTAGTTTTTCTAAAAAATCTGTCGATTAGTATAAGTGCAAAAATTAAAAATCTGTGGTTTTCATATGGTTTTCCTATACCGTACATGTTAAAAATCGAAACTTTGATTTCATTTTTTGAGACTTACAGACGGTCAATTTTATTTTAATAGGCCTTATTTTGTAGATAAATATCCAAAGAATAATTATGTGAAATTTAAAAAAATTCTGTCGAAAACGAATTTACGCGACAAATACCTTAAGCTGATAAATGGGATAACTTGTGTTGAGTCCCAAAGTGTTCAGCTATGAAACTTCTAATACAGTCAACTCTATGAATAGTGCCGCTATCAATAGTGCCACTTCTCCTCTTTCTCGCTCGAGCTCTATCCCCACTTTAGCGACTCTAGCACGGCTTCTGAATTTCGAGTTTCCCCTAAGAGAGAAATATACAAACAGTGGGGGTACTACAGTTCCAAGAAAAGTCGTAAACGCTGTGCAATTTTGCGGCACTATTCATAGAGTTGACTGTACTATAGTGTGTACCTGTCACATATTATTCTATAAAGGAGTACTATACTGACTGCATAAATCATTTTTCCATTTTTCTCCGTGTAATTAAATTTGTTAAAGAATTTCATTAGAAACTTTTTAACAAATAGAATTTTCAAAGTATTTTAATTTAATAATTGATTAATAATTGAATATTATAAAGAGTTAAATTCTAATGTATTCATGTTTCTTACTGCAAAGATTAATAATTAAAATTTTTATTAGTTAATTTAAAAAAATATACATACTTAAAATTGTTTAATAAAATTGAACTTTCGCAAATTTTTTTTTTTAATCTGAAAAATAAGATTGTTGTTATTTTTCAATTCTATTGTTTCAAGATAATTTACTTTTTCTAAACAAATAATTGAAATTTTTTTAAATAATTGAAATTCCTTTACATTTTTTGAAAAATAATTGAATTCTTTTAAAGAATTTTATTTAAATTTTTCGAAAATAATCAAGGGAAGTTAGTGACCGTAATTATAATTTTATTTTTAAAATTTAAAGTCCCTTTTACAGTTTTAAAGCAATTTTTTGCTTCTAAAAATATTATTGAACTTCTCTTAAATTTTTATAATTTTAAATTTCTGATTAAATGTTTATTACTTATTAAGTAAATAATTAATTATTAATGATTATTATTTTCAAAAATTTTAATAAAATTCTTCACAAGAATTAAATTATTTTCATAAACAATAGCATTCTTTGGAAGGATTCAATTGTTTTTATAAATAGTAAAATTTTTTGCAGAAATTCACTTATTATCAATATAATTCTAATAAAATTAAAAAATCAAATTTTCAATTATAATTATAAAAAGACAAGATTATTTTTAAATAATTAAAAAAATTCTTTGTTTAATTCAATTATTTTCCAAGTTTTCAATTAGAATTATTGAAAAAAACATTTTCAAAAAACTTAAAGATTTATTTATTTTCGAAATCAAATTTAAATTTAAATTTGATGAGAAAAAAAACCGGGAAAAAATTTGGACATAACCGGGAAAATCCGGGAAATAACCGGGAATTTTGTTGAACGAAAATACTAGATACCCTGGGCCCACAATTTTCAGTAGTTTCCCTGAATCAGACTTCTCTGAATTAGGGAAGTAAAACCAAAAGACAAAGTTTAAAACAATAATGTAGATCAAAATTTCTTTTGATTTTAATCAAATTTCAATTATTAAAACATAGAAAAAGCGAAATATTTTTAGAAAATGGGAAACTAATTAGCAAAACAAATAAAGTATGGGACAATTTATCACTAGAATAAATTAGATAATCGCCGAATAATAAACAAAAAATGTTTGAAAACTTTTTACTCTCTAAAACTGAATCAGTGAAATTTGACTGATTTTCAGTGACTCTATTCTCGCGATTTGAATCAGTGAAATTTCACTGAAGATCAGTTAAAAATGATTGAAATTTCAGTCATTTTTCACTGATTGGCCAATTAAAAAAACTGAAATTTTCAATATGTGTGACAGAAATTTTCAGTAGTTTTTTAATTGGCGAATCAGTGGAAAATGACTGAAATTTCAGTTATTTTTAACTGATCTTCAGTGAAATTTCACTGATTCAAATCGCGAGAATAGAGTCACTGATTCTCAGTGGAATTTCACTGATTCAGATTTAGAGAGTATAAATTTCTTCTTTAAAAAACAATTATTTTCTAGAATGTTCAATTAAGATTTTTTTCTGAAATTATTTTTACTATTCTTAAAAAATCATTCAAGATTGAAATTATTTAGATACAAAAATAAAATTTTGTATCATAATTTTAACTGTAAATCTTTATTTTTTTAAAGTAATTAAAGTCAATTATTGAAAATATATAACCAAAAATGTTGAAAATAATTAATTTAAACAAAATTGCAAAAAATTTTTTGTTAGTTTTTAAAAACATTTTAGAAAGACAATAGATTTTTTAATTATATAGAATACAAAAATTTTCCAAATAATTGAATTTTAGTAAAATAATTTAAAAATCAATGAACTTTCAAAATTATCAGGCCTCGGATCTACTTTGAGGAGAAAAAAAGTTGCTTTAGTCGATTAAAAATACGAACAAAGTCGAAAAATTAGTTTATTTAATTCATATGAAGTAATGTAACAAGAATTTTATTTTTTAAATAATTTTTGAAAGTTCATAGGTTTCTAATTTATACAATAACAATTTTGTACAATTAAAAAAAATTAATTTTTTTTAATTTTAATAAAAAGTTTTGAACTTGATTGTTTTCTCCAAAGGGTTAAAAATATTTCTAAAAAATTTTAATGTTATTTTTTTGTACGAATTTAAATTTTCGGAAACATGTAATTGAAATTATTGAAAATAATTGAATTTTAAAAAATTACAAGGAAAAAATTCTATATGTATGTATTACTTTTTTCAAAAATATTTTATTTTAATATAATTTTTAGAAGCTAATTTTTATTCATTTTCATAATTTATAAATTTACACATGAAGATTTGTCATTGAAATTTTTGAGAATTCAATTATTTTCAAAATTTGCAATTAAAACTCCTCAAAAGTTGATTGTCAAAAATTATAAAAAAATACTTGGAAAAATTAGATATTTTCAGTTAAATTTTACAAAATTTCAATTATTAAAAATTTGTTAATTGTTTATTTAAAAAATTTAATTAGAAAAATCATTCAAAAATAATTTTTGAAAGATTTGTCTATAGTTATACTTTTTACACTATAAAAATCGGAATAAATTGCATTTTATACCAAAAATACTGTTTTTGTGACAAAACTTGGAAAAGAAGTCGAAAAAGTCGCAATTTTTTAAGAAAAGTCGAAAAAAGTCGCATTTTTTGAAAATAGTCGAAAAAGTCGTAATATCTTAGGCCTAAATTATTTAAAAATCATTAAATTTTTAACTAAAATTTTGAAAATATTAACCCTAGAAGGAGTAACTGGGGTTTAAAATACGTCTCAAAACTTAAAAAATTATTTTTTCGTTTTCAAATCCTAACCATTATTTAATTTTTTTTTTAATTTATGAAAAAATGAATAAAACCATTGCTTTTCTTACTAAAAAGTAAAAAACCATTAAAATTCACTAGGTACCATTAATTGACTTTACGTCAAATAGTAACCTTTCAAAACGAGATTCAAGTTTGGATTCAGCGACCTCGAAAACCTCCGAGTAGGCATTTTCAGACAGATTCGTTAACCTAAAAATTTTTTTGGGCGCTATTTTGAATTTTGAATTTTCGACAACGGATTTGAAATCAGCGACCTAGAAAAACCCCGAGTAAGCATTTTTAGCCAGATTCGTTAACTTTTAAATGACTTTTTTCGATGGCCCTATAGAGCCCATGGACATACAGGGCACGACATTTTTATGACTTTATAGAGCTCAGTGACAGTGAAGGGGTTAAATTCAAACACTTGAGTGAATTCCAGTACTCGATTAAATTAGAGCACCCTGAAAACCTCCCGGTACAAAATTTCAAGCAAATCCTGATTTAAAATGTTTTTTGTCCGCCATATTGAATACGCCATTTTGAATTTTGATTTTAGATTCATAATTAATTAATTATGGACCCTGAAAAACCTTTATATACCAAAAATGGTAGAAATTAAATTAATTAAAATAATTCGGAATTTAAAGAGTTAATGAAAAACAAGGACAAAGGACAAAGTCTCTCTGCCCTTTTTAGATTTTTTGTTAAATTATAATATTAATTAATTTTGATTGTGGAAACTTGAAGCCTAAATTGAGCCGAAATTTTTCGTACATAGAAAAAGTCTCAAAACGCCATTTTAAGCATTTTTGAAGGTGGTTCTGCCAGCTTGAAGTAAGGCTGACAAAACCATGCATTTTTTTAAAAAAATGAAGGGCCGGAAATTCGGCAATGGGGCATTAAATTAGCCCTAAATGAGCCCTTAATTATGCAATAGGTCCCATCGTGATCCGACAATATGGTTCTGTCAGGTTTACGTAGCTATATATATACAGGGTGTCTACTAACCGGGAAAACCGGGAAAACCGGGAATTAGCCGGGAAAAAAATAAAAACCGGGAATAACCGGGAAAACCGGGAAATATTCGGGAATTGAAATTTATTCGTAATAATTCAATAAATTTTTAGGAAAATTTTTTTTGACATTTGAAAGTAAAGACAGTGTTTACACAGAATTTTATTTGGATGAATTCATTTCAAATAAACCCGCGCTATTTCGACCATATTCAAGCATGCGCGAATTAAGCTGCTGCTATAATCTATACATACATATATATTCATGTTGAACCATGTGTGATTTGATAATGTAGTTGCAGGTGTCAAAATATTTTGTAAAAAAGTTGATTGTGTTGATTTACAATTCGGTAAGCTATTTTTTATAAATTCAAGTATTAGAAAACATACTGTGCTATAAATCTATCAGTTTTAATAATAGTATTTAAAAGTTTAAGCCAAATAGTGGGATTCATAGTCACATGTATCTTATTGGAATTTGAGGTTAGGTATTAAATTTCAACTAGCAAATAAATTCTTTATACAAAATTTATTTAAAAAAAGTTTTTAGTAATTAACTTGTTATTTTTATACTATTATTGAAACGATGGATTCTTTAAAAAATAATGTTTTTATTGAACTTGTTATTTACGTAGCCCGGTAAGAAGCGTTTAATCCGTTTAATAGTGATAAACTGTTTAATTTTCTGCAGGTACATATGTATTTATTTTTGTAAATTTTTATTTTCTTAAATCTAATTCAAAACATTTTATGAAAATTTTACTTGAATTGAGTTTTCTCGATATTTGGTGGTTTTTGCTTAGAAAATTAGTGTGATATTGCGAAAAATGAACATGATTAAAAACGAGTATTTTTTAATCGATTTTCCTGAATTAATTTAAAATATTTTATATATCAAATCAATGGATTATTTTTATTTTAAAATGCTCAAATTAAAATTAATTGAAAATGTACCTAAATTTTTTTTTAATTAATCAAGTTTTAAAATAAACGTTTTTAAGGTTATTTTACCTTGACACTTGTTACATTCCTTGATTTGATAAATATTTTTTAATACTTTTTTTATTTTTTAATGTTGTTTCCAATCCAATAAGAGCTCTACTTTAATAAACTTTAACATTTACTTTCGTTTCTATTGTAAACTTATTACTTACCATAATATACTGTCAATTACAAGAAATAGATTTTTATAGTTTCTGAAAATAGAAAATTCAAGTCGTCTCGGATATTTTTGGATATTACAGTTCGATTAATCCGTTCTTACCGGGTGCAGTAATTAATTAGCCGAAATTCTTTATATTAAATTTTAGTCGATGTACATTAGTTTTTTTTTAATTTTTAGCTTTAATTTCTAACGGTCTACAATGAGTCGAAGTCAGACGGTGTTTCAAGCAACTTGGAAAGTTGAATTTCCATGGGTAGAGCAAGATAAACGACCATTTTATGCTCTTTGCACTATGTGCAATAAATCATTTACATTTGAATCAATGGGTCGCTCAGCTTTAACCAGTCATACGAAAAGTAAAAAACATAAAGATTTAATGGATATTGCTAGGAAAACAGTGCCTATTTCAAATTCAGTGGTAACAAAACCATCAGAACCATCATCTCAGACCAGTTCTTCTATTTCGTTAAATAATCGTTTATCACAACATTTACTTGATTCACATCTCACAAAAGATACTGTGACTGAAGCTGAAATCTTATGGTGCATTGAAACGGTGATGACACACACGTCTTTGCGATCTGCTGAAAGTAACGTACTTCTTTTTAAACGAATGTTTCCGGACAGTGAAATTGCCAAAAGTCTTAAATTGCACAAAGATAAAGTATCGTATGGTGTTGCTTTCGGCATTGCTCCATATTTCCAAAAGGAATTGGTCAACAAATTGAAAAATCGTGAATTTTTAGTAATCGGCTTTGATGAATCTCTGAATAAAGTCGCACAAAAAAATCAAATGGATTTGAATATTCGTTTTTGGGATGTCGATAAAAATCAGGTTTCTTGTCGCTATTTAACATCTGTTTTTCTTCACCATACAACAGCAGAGGATCTTCTTGATGGACTAAAATTTGGTCTAAGTGAAATTGACCTTCAAAAAATCTTACAAATTTCTATGGATGGACCTCATGTTAACTGGAAACTGATTCGTTTATTTAACTCGGAATTACGTTTACCTCCTGATTCACCAAAGTTACTGGAACTAGGCTCGTGTGGACTCCACGGCGTTAATGGAGCTTTTAAAACAGGTATTAAGAAAACTGAATGGAACTTAGATGCATTTTTAAGAGCGTCCTATAATTTGTTTAAACAAGTACCTGCCCGTCGCGGAGATTTTGTCAAAATAACTGGCTGCAAAGAATTTCCTTTAAAATTTTGTCAAGTTCGTTGGACAGAAAATTCTAAAGTTGCACGACGAATTGAAAATATTCTACCTCATCTGATTAAATATGTTGATCACGCAAAATCTACTAAAAAAGAACCTACGTGCAATAGTTTTACAATTGTTGCTGATGCATTAACTGATAAACTTTTGCCTGCAAAACTTTCATTTTTTCGATCTTTAGCTGAAGACTTAGAACCGTTTTTAACTGAATTTCAGTCAGATGCTCCATTAGCACCTTTTTTATTTGATAGTCTAACATTAATGCTAAAAAACTGCATGACAAGATTTGTAAAAGAGGATGTGATTCTAAAAACTCGACTGCACAAGATCGATGTTTTAAAGAAAACTGACGGTAAATATGAAAATCTAAAGTGGACGAAAGATGTTGATCTTGGTTATGCTACCTGTTATGCATTACAAAGGTGTGAAGGAACGAGCCCTAAGGAAATTCTTCTATTTAAACAAAATTGTAGAAACTGTCTGCAACATTTAGTAAACAAGTTGTTGGAGAGAACGCCTTTAAAATATCCTTTGACGGAAGCTTTAACTTGCTTAAATCCTCATAAAATTGCTTTTTGTGTAAAAGAAGCGAAAAAGCAACTACGTATTGCTTTAGATATTCTTTTAAAAGCGAATATTTTTTCTTCGGCACTAATTCAAAACGCAGATCGAGAATATAAAACTTTATTATCAGACCAATCAATCATTGAGCAAATGAAGCTTTACTGCAGAAACGATTCGCGTTTGGATGATTTTTGGATGCAAACACTTTCAATTCGACCAGACATTGAAACTAAAAGTCTGAAAGAAGTCTTAAAGACTTTTTTTATATTGTCGCACGGAAACGCAACTTTAGAAAGGGGATTTTCTGTGAATAAAGAGATGATCATTGAAAATTTAAAAGAAGAAACTCTTATTGCGCATCGAATCATTTATGATTCGGTAACAAGTTCAGGAGGTCTTACCAACATAATCATAACAAAATCATTAATTCATTCAATGAGGAATGCTCACGGAAAATGGCAGGATGCTTTAGAAAAGCATAGGAAGGATAGACTTGAAGAAGAAAAAGCTAAAGAGAACCAAAGAAAAATGGAAAAGGATATAAAAGAATTAAACAGTAAAAAAGCAAAGCTGTTGTCAGAAACTGCACTAAAAGTTGCTAACATTGACGAAACTTTAAAAAGTTTGCGGAAAAAATAACTCTTCTAGTCTTGAAGTTAATTTATAAAGCTTATATTATATTAACTTAAAATACTATTATATTTTATACCTCGTTCAAATTGAAGTTAATACATGTTTATAAACTACTACTCTTTAAGAAATGAAAATATATAATTATTTATGCGTATTTTAAATATAAATTATGGTTGCTATGTGATAAATGTACAAATTAAGTTGGTTTTATATTTCACAAAGACTCTACTGTTTCCATGTTATAAGAGGTAGCATATTGAAAACATTGCAATTGTTTAATCGTTTAATTAAAAGTATTTTCATGGTTGTGAACTTTTTAAATAAATTTACTTTTAAATTTTTTAAATTTTATGAATATATACCTACATGCATTAATTTATAACATTAAACTACAAAGGTAGGTTGCCAAAATAGACTAGAATTTGTTATTCATGCTTTTTAAAAAAAGAAAATTTAATATTTTCAACCGGAAAAAACCGGGAAAAACCGGGAAAAAACCGGGAAATGACCGGGAATTTGGCAAGCAAAATTTAGTAGACACCCTGATATATATAAAATATATAAAAGTGATCTTCATATAGTACGTGGACAATTTTTTGTCAATTTTAGATCCCCCTTCCAAGTGGACATTTTTTATGAGAAATTGATATTTTTGGTAAAATATGAAGACCTATAACTATAAAGAAGGTTATTTTTTATTTTATGATGGTAAATAAATTGATATTTAATATAAAAAATTTTACGAAATTTCAAAATATCTTAATTTTACACTACAGGTTTCGAAGCGACTTAAAGACACAAAAAAAGTATCTTTAGTCGAATTAAAAATAAATAGTCGCAAATGTCGTTTATTTAATTTAGTGTTGTCACAAACATTTTATTTTGTATTTCACGAAGTTGAAGTCCACAACGTTGATCAACGAAAAAGGTTTTTTAATTTATTCTATTATTATATTTTTGTAAAATATACAACAATTATTATTATTAAAATATAAATAAAGCTCCCTTTTCAATACATTTTTTGACAGTATTGTTGCTTTATCCTTTTTTTCCTATTAATTAACACTTATTAAAAAACTTTTTTCGTTGATAAACGTTGTGGACTTCAACTTGGTTGTATTTCTCTGATCTTTCAATCATTTTTTAATTGAATTATTTAGAACTTGAATAATTTTGTTAAATAATTTAAATAATTCTTATTTGTTTTTTCAATAAAAGATTTTTAATTTAAAACCTTCTAAAAAATTTAATAATTTTTAAAAATTATAACATAACCCTTCTAAATTTCAATTAATTTCTACATTTTTTTAATTAAACTTCATCTCTAAATCTGTTTCTTTAAAATAATTTTCCGAAAGTTCTTTGAGAATTTAATTATTCAAATACAAAAATTAAATTTTTTATAATAATTGCAATTGTAACTATTCTTTTTTAAAATTATTAAAGTATAATATTTTCAAAAAATTATAATAAAGAAATCCTAAAAATAAATTTTTTAAAAATATTTTTAAAAAAATAATTTTTGAATGGTATAATAGTTTTTCACTTATATTACAATTAAAAAATTTCAAACAATTACAATTTGGTAAAATTTATTACAAATGATTGAATTTTTGAAAATTGAAATTGAATTTGAAAATTGAAAAATATAAAAGAAATTAATAAATTTTTTGAAAATTTTAATTAAAAATTTTAACCTGATTGTTTTCTCCAAAATGTTAAAAATGATTCTCAAAAATTTTAATTTTATTATTTATTGTACCTATATGGCTTTTAATTAAATTATGCTAATAATTAATTATTATTAATTAAATTTACTTAATTCTTTGCAATTTGTTTAGAATAATAATTAATTATTGATTTTAGAATAATTTTAAAAATACATAATTGAGTTCTCAAAATTTTTAATGAAAGTTAAAAATTATATATTAAAACATTTTTTAAGAAAGTGATTCTTAGAATTCTTTTTATTTCAATTTAAAAAAATTATTCTTGATAATTTTAATTACATGCTTTCGAAAATTCAAATATCTGTTAAAAACAGTTATCTACATTAAAATTTTATAGAAAAAATATTTTAATTAATAATAATAATTATTGTCTTAAAATTTATTTTAAAAATCTCAATTTACAAAGGAAGATTAAAAAAGAACTTAAACAGAAATTGTATAACAAGTTTTTAATTTCTTTTAATAGTTAAGAGTTTGTTTAAAAATTGTGATAAAGAAATATGCATTATTTGAATTTATTTTATCAATATTTTTCCAGGCAATGTCTAAAAAAATTAAAATTTTATTAAAAATTTTAATTCAAAAATGAAAATGGAAATTTTTTTAACAGAAAAAACAAGAAATTTTGTAAAAAAATTTAATTGACAAACCATTAATTTCTAAAAAAAACAGAAATTTGCTTCAAAATATTATACTATATTAAAATTTTTTTTTTAAAAAGATTCTTGGAATATTTTGACATTCTAGTTTTTAAAAATTAATTTATTTTCAACAACACATTTCCGAGAAATTAAATAGCTACAAAATAAATTAATTAATAATTGTTTAAAATATAATTTTTTAGAAATAGATAATGTAAAAAAAAAATTTTCAAAGCTTTTAATTGATAAAAATAATAATTCAATATTTAGGAGCCGAGAAGAACTCGCCAATCGCTTAAACGCCAGTCAAATAGCAGTCAGGTAGCAGTAACAAGACCAGAGTGCGTTGGCGCGTCAGGCGAGTTCTTACCGGCTACTCAATAGTAATATGCCTATTATTATTTGAAATGTGTTATTCGTCTATTTGTGAAAAAATTTGAAGTTTAAAACAAAAAATTTATTTAAAAAAAAATTCCAAACACAATTTAGCAGCACTCAAAAAATATGTAGAAATAAAAAACACTTTCTAGATCTGTTAGCTATAAATATACGAAAAATTGTAATATGTGTGCAGAGTTGCCACGCTTTGCTAATAGACCTTTTCATTTCAATTCGGAAGTCGCGAATGCGCCTGCGCAGCAACCATGACAGTTCACCAATTTTAAAAGTTTCGGCCCTGTTCTATTAACATGTGTTAAAACTTTACTTTTGCTCATGTTTTTTTAGAGAAAAGAAAATGTGTCCGGTGCAAAATTGGTATCAAATTTAAACATAAAAACACGCAGTTAAATTTGCAATTAAAAATATCACTGCAGTGCAGAAAACAGTCAACTAAAAGAAGAAAAAAGAGTTGGTTCCAGAGTGAGGTTATGTTTACTATATATTGACATATTGTTATTCGCTGATGAAATGTGAAAAACACAATAGTTACCTCTTTCACTTTTATTTAATGTTTTTATTAACGTTGCATGTAGAAATGCAAAAAAACTAAAATAAATTATTGATATTTAAAAAATAACTTATTGATAAAATAATTAATATATGCTCCGTCCTGAATTTTTTCATTAAATTTATTCCAGTATTTGTTATAATTATTATACTCCATTTTTATGCAACATATAATAATTTAGAACACTTTTTATAATTTTTTTCATATCTGAATAATGCAATAGCTGTAAATAGGGCCGAAACTTGAAACGGAACTTCAATTCCATATAACGCATGCGCAAAGAAAATAATTGAAATGAAAAGGTCTATTGAGAGCTGGATTCTATAACCGGCTCTTCGCTCGAACTCACGCAGAAGATAGTCCCTTCGTCAGTTATGTCATGAAAATTTAAAACTAAAAAAAAAGTATTTAAAAATTATGACGTTGTAGAGGAGAAAAAAATACATCTTTTTTCTATTTACAATTTTTTTCTAGAATGCCAGTTATTAATACTAAAAAATAAAAACTAAAAATTTTTTTTCTGAAAAATTAATTACCTTTTGATAAATATATCGTCATTTCTCAGTCAAATATTAATGAAATGAACAGATTTTTTTTAGGCTTGCACAATATACCTTACCGAAGCCCACAAGCCAAAGTAAAGTCCAAAAAACAAATTGTTTATTAATGATTAATTTTGAAAGTTGTTATTTACAACAACAGGAATTTCAATTTTCAACGAGAAAAATTATGCGACGAAATTTCACATTATGAAAACTTCTCGAGAGAAAGTTTTTCCTTTATTATTAAGGAAGTTTTTCCAAAAAGAATTAAACCGATTCGATGAGAAATAAAGAAAATAAAAGAAAAATAGCGAAACAGTATTTTCGTTCCCAGCGAAAACCCTGTTCGGCAGCCATGTTTGTCATATGACTTGTAACGTACGCACGCACACATTTCTATTTTACACAGCAGCGTGAGTGTGTGAGCGTGCGTAAGCTACGAGTCATATGACAAACATGGCTGCCGAACAGGGTTTTCGCTGCGAACGAAAATACTGTTTCGCTATTTTTCTTTTATTTTCTTTATTTCTCATCGAATCGGTTTAATTCTTTTTGGAAAAACTTCCTGAATAATAAAGGAAAAACTTTCTCGCGAGAAGTTTTCATAATGTGATATTTCGTCGCATACTTTTTCTCATTGAAAATTGAAATTCCTGTTGTTGTAAATAACAACTTTCAAAATTAATAATTAATAAACAATTTGTTTTTTTGGACTTTACTTTGGCTTGTGGGCTTCGGTAAGATATATTGTGCATGCCTAAAAAAAATCGGTTCATTTCATTAATATTTGACTGAGAAATGACGATATATTTATCAAAAGGTAATTAATTTTTCAGAAAAAAAATTTTTATTTTTTATTTTTTAGTATTAATAACTTGCATTCTAGAAAAAAATTGTAAATAGAAAAAAGATGTATTTTTTTCTCCTCTACAACGTCATAATTTTTAAATATTTTTTTTTTTTTGAGTTTTTAATCTTCATGACATAACTGACGAAGGGACTATCTTCTGCGTGAGTTCGAGCGAAGAGCCGGTTATAGAATCCAGCTCCTCAATTTCAAATTCCCTGACTTTTCCAGGTTAAGAAACTGAATTTTTCCAGATTTTTTAAACTATTTATATTTTGCAAATATTGCAAAATTGTCGAAGTGCGTAAGGCCAATAGGGCAGGAGTATAAAAAAAATTAAACAACTTAAAAAAGATTGTTATAAAATATGACCGACTGATAAAATAATTATTTTATATTATAAGAATATTGTTACCGTAACTTATTAAAAATTACTTTCATCACTACTATTCAATTATTGTTTTCTAGAATTTTTAACTAAATTTCTTCTATAAATACAATATTTTAAATAATTTTTCAAAAAGTTTTTTGAGTATTTTCTAATGCATTTGTTTACAATTCAATTTTATAAAATTTCAATTTTTAAGACAATCTTTAATTAAATATTTATTAGAAAACTAAAACTTCAAATAATTCCAAAAAATATCCACAATTAAACTTACTTAAAAAAATGAATTCTTTTAAAGAATTGTTCGTTAAAAATATTGAAAAATTTATATTTTCAAAGATTTTAATTTGAAACCTTTTCAAAATTCAATTACTTCCAAAAATTAACGCTATTATACTTTCTCTCTAAATTTAAATTAGCAAAAATTTTTACCTCTCATAAAGAATTTTATCAGCAAATTTTTAAATAGGTAATTAAAATTCTTTTGACGAATTTTAATAACATTTTTGAGTATAATTTCATTTTTCCAGAAATTGGATAAAAATTGTATTA